CTTCGCAATCGTATTGGATATCTTTCTTTCTCTTTTATATCTGCTTGTTTTTTTTTTTTTTGTTTTTTTTTTCTCTTTATTTTTTTTTGCGTGTTTCTTCCCTTTTTTCGTGTTTTTTTTTTTTTTTTTTTTTTTTAATATGATTCTGTTTTTAATTTTTCGAAACAGCTCGAGCTACCGCAGCAATCGACATACCAGAGGAGAAATAATTAAACCATTTTTGTCATAAATAATATAATTCGAATTAAATATATTATATATTATCAAGTTGTAATTTTTCTTTTTTTACTGATTAGTAACATATGAGAACTTTGAAATAAATAAATTTATTTTATTCAATTGTGATTGGCTAAAAATGAAACACGAGATTTTGAAATACTATAAATGTTGTCTATATTGTAAAATTTGTAAAATTGGGATTAAAATGCCACCGAAGAAAACTCAATCAGAAAAATCAAAGCAAAAGGATAAACAAAAAATTGTCGAGGACAAAACTTTCGGCTTAAAAAACAAAAAGAAGTCGGTCAAAGTACAGCAACAAATTAAGCAGATAGAAAATCAGGTGTTTCAAGCAGGGAACAGGAAGGCTCAGGTGTGTAGAAATCAGATTTATCTTATGTCCGTTTTTAAAAATATTGTATAGCTTATTTAATGACTATTAACTGTTGACATCATGATACAGAAAGAAAAAGAAATTGAGAAACAAGCTCTGGCTAATAAAAAGCTTGCAGAACAAAAAAAGAAGGAAGAACATTCAGAACTTTTCAAACCAGTTCAAACAACACAAAAGGTACCATTCGGTGTAGATCCTAAGACAATTTTATGTCAATTTTTCAAAGCTGGACAGTGTCTTAAGGGAGATAAGTGCAAATTTTCTCACGATTCGAATGTGGAAAGGAAAAGTTCGAAAATTGATATATATACGGATTCAAGACAAGACGAAGAAAGGAAAAATGGTAAAAATAATTGTTTGGATTATTTAATAATAAATCGACAATTAATAAATTAACAATTAATAAATTATTTTAAGACACTATGGATAAATGGGATCAAGAGAAACTTGAGCAAGTCGTTACTTCAAAAAATGAAAATCCCAAGACTACTACAGATATCGTGTGCAAATATTTTTTAGAAGCAATTGAAAATCAAAAATATGGCTGGTTTTGGGAATGTCCAAATGGAGGTTTGTCTATTTGTCTTTCGTTTTCTATTTGTTATTTTGTTATTTGAAAATTAATTTTCAAGTATATCATAATACTAACATTCATAATAATAATAATAATAATAATAATGTTGTAGGAAAGCTTTGTAAATATAGACATGCTCTTCCTCCAGGATTCATATTGAAGAAATCACAAAAGAAAGCAGAAGAGGAAGAAAATCAAATTACTCTTGAAGAATTTCTAGAAACAGAAGTATGTTCAATAATAAAAAATTTTACAAAAATTTAGTATAAATTTATATACATTCTTATTTTCTTTAATTTTTAAGCGTCATAAATTGGGTACAAACCTCACCCCTATTACGCTTGAGAGTTTCACCAAATGGAAGAAGAATCGTAAAGCCAAAATCGAAGCAGATGAAGAACTTAAAAGAGCATCTAAAGAAGCCGCATTTAAGGCAGGCAAAGCTCAAGGCATGTCAGGTCGTGATCTTTTCACGTTCAACCCAGATCTTGTTAACCAAGCTGAAGAATATGATGATGATGGAGATGTGTTTGATTTATCCGGATATAAACAAAACAATGTTCAAGAAAGTGATCAAATCAAAGAAAATATGGAACAAAATGAACAAAATAATGTTAATAACCAAAATGATCAAATTTCAGAGAATCCTTGCGAGGAAGGGAATGATAAAATGAACAATGAAAATAATAATAATAGTTCTATAGTTACTGCAGAAGGAATAGAAGTAAAAGCAGATTTGTTTGCGGAAGAGAATTTAGATGATTTAGATGATTTAGATGACGACGAACAATAATATTATTACTTACATATATGATTATTAAAATTTAATTTTAAGAATATTTATTTATTTATTATGTAATAGATTTATTTGATATTCATTATTGTCTGGAACATAGCGTAGGACTTTTATAATTCTACTCATTGAAAAATGAATCACCACGTGATTATGGTCACTATGAAATTGATTCTATTGGCTACAATACTGATTCCCGTGATAATCTTCGTGTGATAAAATTGATTATTATGAATATATTAATAAATAATAAGTTCAATGAGTTCATAATCCGTTATAAAGGTTTTTCAATCCACTTTATATTTTATTATATTAAAACTTTGTCAAGATTCTTGTGCATTAAAACTTAAATTCTAAAAAGTACTCAATTTACTTTATTTCTAGTATAAAAAAATTGGATTTGTTAATAAAAAAAGATAAAAATTAAATTTACACACCCAAATCACATTCTTTCTGCACATTTTCAATATCAACCATGGAAAACACTATTACCCCTTCCCTTGGAAAAGATGAGAAAGAGAATAGCCTTATAAACAAGTGAATAAAGAATATTGATAAACATGTTTATCAACATTAGATAATGAATCTATTCATGTTCACATTTGTAAAACCTCTCTTTTTTACAAGTTTTCCAGGAAGATAGCAAAAGTGAATTAGTAAGAAGCATTTGACACTGCTACCAGCAAATCTTTCAGTACAAAAAAATTCCATTAAGCAAAAGCATGACTTCACTTTTTAAATTAACCTAGTTATATCTGAAATCTATTTAGAAAATGGTACAGAAGATTGTTCAGTATCTCAAGTAAAGTTGTGTGCAAAATCCCCAGGTTTAGCAAACTGGAAAATGGAAAAGGATTTAACCTGTTTTATCAAATAACTTTAAAATTGAAAAACTGGAAAAGATTTTTCAGTTAACAAAACTTGAAATTTTTTGAATTTTTTTTATATAATTAATATAATTTTATCAAATATATAATAAAAATAATAATATAATTATTTATTACTAGTCAAAAACAAAAAAATTGTTGGTTAAAATTATCAAAAATTAAAATTCCTAAGTATATAAAAACTAAAAATTGAACAAATCAACTATCTTATTATATAATAGTTATTTTATAGGAATTTAGGTACATCATTAATTTTTATAATTTATCAAATAGAGAAAAGAAAAAGTTATTAAATAAAATAAAATATTTCAAAGAAATTAATAGAAAATTGTATAAGAAATTTAAAAGAAAAAATATAAAAATATTAAAAATTATAAGAAGAACAGAATTAGAAGATCTAATAAAAATAATATATGATTATTCAATATAACTAGTCAAATATAAAAGAATCACTATACTGAATGATAATTCTATATTATAGATTAGCTAAAAATCAGTAACAATCAACTGTTCTATTGCATTCTATATTATAAATCAGCAAAAATCAGAATTCTTTTTTGATATGATATATCTTTTGTATCTAACCTGTGTATCAGGTCACATAAGAATTAATATAATTTATAATATGACTAAGAAAGGGAACTGTTGTAAGTCCGGAGTATAATAATTTTAGATGTTCACATAATTAACAAAAAAAAATAATTTGTATAATTGTTATATAGTGAATTAATTAATTAATTAATTAATGTATTATTAACTTTATTGTATTGTATATTGTATTTTATACGTGTTGCCCAAATCCCAAATTACTAGTATTTGGGATTTGGGATTTGGGATTTCGGCAAAAAATACTAATCATAATTTGGAATTTGGGATTTGGGATTTTGGCATTTGGAATTTTGGCATTTGGATTTTGAATTTGGGTGACAGGTATATTCTTTGAGGGATGACAATTTCAGGTTTTTCGTCATACCATACCTCAAGAAGAAAAATTCCGTTATCTTGACATATGCATCTTTTTCTCCGATCACAATTAACAATATTCTCGAATTTTTTGACATCTTTATATCAACTAGTGTGATGAAGCTGATGTTGATTCCCTTGCACTTCTAATGCAATTCGATATTTTTGAAAGAAGGCATCAAGTTCTAATCCATTCAAGAAGGGAGGATGATATTCAATTATTGGCTCCTCATTAAGAATTTCCATAACTATCTGAATACATTTGTTCTGAAATTTACGATTTTTCTTAGACATCAGCTTCAGTTCCAATTTCGTAATTTTAACTTTAAGATCATTATCTGCATCTTCCAACTTTTTAATTCTGGCTAAAAGATCATCATCTGCATTTTCAAGTTTAGACATTCTTTCACTCGACAAATCGATTCTGGATTGTGCATCTGCCATTGTTTATACAGGATACAGATATGTTCAAAAGTTCATTTATTAGTATAGAAAAAACACGATCAGATATACGCTACATAAGAAGATTTACTACAAAAAAAGTTCGATCATATATACATGTCATCAATAGCAATACATCAGAAAAAAAATAATTCACAAAATATACACGCAAAACACGATTTTTATATGATAATTGAGCCAGATTTATGAAGTTAAAAATCTATATCGGGTATGAAAAATCTTGTAATACGTCGAAGTTAAATCTACAAATATTACATAAGCAAATAATGCAAGATTAGTATAAGATGCTAATTTTCCGATATGTGTGTCTGCCTTCAGCAAAGTAAATAGCGTCACGTAATTTGTTATGCAATTATGTAACATTACACAAAAAATAACACATGATACATTGTATGTTAATTAAAAATCTTTATTAATAAAAAATATATATATACGGTAAATATACAGGATAAAAATATAAGATAAAAATACAGGAATCAGGAATAAAATTAAGTACGTAATGGTGAAGTAA